ATCGGGTCAGGTTCGGGTCAGATTCGGGTCAGATTTGGGTTATACATGATAAAATTTGATTGGTTATTAGAACACTTTTAACCGGAAATATTTATTTTTTTACTTGTTTCTAATTATTTACGTTATTTTAATAAAAGTCTTTTCTACCCTTAATTTTTCTTAATTTCGTTTATTTACAATTAATTTAATTAATTACACATGCACCATAGTTTTTTATTATGCCTCTATGTTCACCCACCCTACAAACAATCAATCAGAATTACCACGTCAAGATTATAATGAGCCTTCTGATGAGCCAGAATCGTATGACGAAAATTAATCCAAAAGATTTTGGTACCAAAGCACTAAGGGACACCACAAAAGGTTTAAAAGCAAAAAAGAAAAAAGCACGGAAGGTTACAGAAAGAAAAGAAAAGAGGTTTGTCGTATATTTTCTTTTTTTTCTTTTTGAGTTATTATTCCTTGATATTTTTATTAAATACGATTGTTTCACTAGTACAGGGTAAATGAATGAAAGATGATTTTAGGCGGGTTTGTATTTGACCGAGTTTTTATTTATTTTCTCACTTCTATGTTGCATCTCTCCCTTTACATTTTACATTCTTTTATACAGCGACATGGCTAAAGCTAAATTACATAATTCTTTTCACAATCCTTCCCGTCCTGTCTTCCGGTTGGTCCGTCGCCTTCTCTTGATGATGCTCCTTCCCTACGTCACCTCCTCTTGTTCGGTGGTCGTCTTGTCTTTCATGCATCGTTACTGGGCGGCGTTATTGGTTCTTGTTGCACCTTCGTTAGGTCGGATCGCTCTTCTCAAACTGCCGCGTAGGTGTCTGTAAATAAAAGGAAAGTAGAAATTAGAAATTCGAGTAGTAAAGGGGGTTTTAATAATTAATGGTTTGTTTTTCGTGATATAGGGGTCGGAAAAGTGTCAAAAAAGTGTTCGCGAGAAAATATCGGGGGGTAACTGGACGTCGTCCTTGTATGAATCTCAGTCACCACCAAAAATGTAACGGCGTAACGGCGAGTCAGTCCCTAACTCTAGCAGAGATTCGCGTAACCGTTACTGGGTAAATAAATGAAAGGGTGATTTTAGACGTGTTTGTATTTGACTGAGTCTTTATTAATTTCTCACTTGTTCCTTGTTTCTCCCTTTACACTTTGTTAATAAGAAATTCAATTAAGTCGATCAAGTGAGGGAGCTCTTAGTGAATAATAAAGATACAAATAAAAAAAATGATCAGTGATCCAAGTACAAAATTACTAAGGTGTGGGAAAGCCGATCATAAAAAGAACCACACGTGTGGCCATACATATCGGAGAGAAAGATCAAGGAAATTAGAATTTCTTATGTGTCACATAACACAGATGAGATTTCGCTGTCTATAGTGCCACCAATCAGTAATGCGAATAGGAAGATAGGCGTGGAGGGATTTTGTTGGCAAAAAAGAGAATTACGGTAATGCGATGTATCACGTTATGGAATTAGTGTTGTTGTGAGGGAACGGTGGGAAATTAGTGTGGGAGAATTTAAAGGTGGGAATTTCTGAAATAGGATAGAATAGCGATCAGATAGAAATATGTAAACAATGAGGCATGTATAAATACATATGCAATTTAGTAACATATAAGGGGAAATTCGAGTTAGTTAAGAATACATTAGCATTTAATAATAAAATAAAGTTGTAAATAACTCTTACCTTGTTTTCAAGTGTACCTGAAATACTTGTAACCGACTAAACGAGAGTATCGAAGTTTGCCTAAGGAAATTGGCATGGAAAGGGTTCTAGATTAGAAGAGAGATTAAATTAAGACTGATCAAATCGAAGACATGCCTCAAGAGTGAAAAGAAAAACTTACCTATATGCTAATAATTATTAATAAATTTTAAACTATAATAAAGCTTAAATTCAGATTTAATAATTTATTTAATTATAAAAATTAAAAATTTAACTAGATATTTTATTTAATTATTAAATTT